CAATGCATATATTTAACTGATGTACCAAACGTTTTTAATTCAGATAACTGTCCCAAGCTTGTCGAAAGATAAGTATAGAAAAGGTAAATGATAAAAAAAAAATAATAATGATAAAAATACAAAAAAAGAAAAGAAATTACTTTAACTGCATTGTTTCTTTATTGGTATAGCTACGTATCAAATATAAGTTGGTTTGCCCGAGAAACAACAATTTTCTATGAAACACGTAACAGATTTCTGCATTCTAACGTAAGGACAAGAACATTCCGGTCTGAGATGGAAGACATTCTAAACTGACCAGTTTATTCTCGATTCGGTAAAACTTGCCATACAAATGTAGGAGTTGAATACGGAAGCCACCTTACTAACCTCGGTTAGTGGGAATTTCCCAGCTGGGATATAGTAATTTTTAGTATACTCATTTGTATCACAAATTTGGTGCTATTAACCGCTCAAACGGTAGAAGTTACAGGAGATTGTGATTATTCTTTGGGGATACTGAACCCAGGTTGTTGATGTTTTTGGGATCGAAGACTTTGTGATGTACAGGTCGCATTACTAGCCTTGGATAGTGGGGATTTTCCTTTAGTCTAGAGGCAGAATGTCCGACTGGAGACCAAACAAGGATCGCTACTTCAAACCCCAACGGGGAAGTGTTTTCCGTTACTCCTTTGCATTCTATTCGACAATTGTTTAAGTTTTATTTATAGTGTATAATGCAGAGTTAAGTACTAACGCTTGTTTAAAATAAATGAATAAAAATGAAAAAATATATTTAAAAATCCCTCTTATTTTCTCACCAGTGAAATGTTTGAGCTATTTTTGATGCAAATGAAATTTATTGCACAAAATTCAATACTCCAAATACAGACACCTATTACCTCCGATGATATGGACTTGTATATATCCTACACTAACACGACCCGGTGGTGTAACGATACACCAATACCTCTCCATGTCACCTCGTCCTCACTATATATCCTACACTAACAACCCGGTGGTGTAACGAGACACCAATACCTCTCCATGTCACCCCGTCCTCACTATATATCCTACACTAATACGATCAGGTGGTGTAACGAGACACCGATACCTCTCCCTGTCACCTCGTCCTCACTATATATCCTACACTAACAACCCGGTGGTGTAACGAGACACCAATACCTCTCCATGTCACCCCGTCCTCACTGTATATCCTACACTTACACGACCCGGTGGTGTAACGAGACACCAATACCTCTCCATGTCACCCCGTCCTTACTATATATCCTACACTAACAACCCGGTGGTGTAACGAGACACCAATACCTCTCCATGTCACCCCGTCCTCACTGTATATCCTACACTAACAACCCGGTGGTGTAACGAGACACCAATACCTCTCCATGTCACCCCGTCCTCACTGTATATCCTACACTTACACGACCCGGTGGTGTAACGAGACACCCATACCTCTCCTTGTCATCCCGTCCTCACTGTATATCCTACACTAACAACCCGGTGGTGTAACGAGACACCAATACCTCTCCATGTTACCCCGTCCTCACTGTATATCCTACACTTACACGACCCGGTGGTGTAACGAGACACCCATACCTCTCCATGTCACCCCGTCCTTACTATATATCCTACACTAATACGATCAGGTGGTGTAACGAGACACCCATACCTCTCCATGTCATCCCGTCTTCACTATATATCCTACACTAACAACCCGGTGGTGTAACGAGACACCAATACCTCTCCATGTCACCCCGTCCTCACTGTATATCCTACACTTACACGACCCGGTGGTGTAACGAGACACCAATACCTCTCCATGTCACCCCGTCCTTACTATATATCCTACACTAACAACCCGGTGGTGTAACGAGACACCAATACCTCTCCATGTCACCCCGTCCTCACTGTATATCCTACTCTTACACGACCCGGTGGTGTAACGAGACACCAATACCTCTCCATGTCACCCCGTCCTCACTATATATCCTACACTAACAACCCGGTGGTGTAACGAGACACCAATACCTCTCCATGTCACCCCGTCCTCACTGTATATCCTACACTTACACGACCCGGTGGTGTAACGAGACACCCATACCTCTCCTTGTCATCCCGTCCTCACTGTATATCCTACACTACCAACCCGGTGGTGTAACGAGACACCCATACCTCTCCATGTCACCCCGTCCTTACTATATATCCTACACTAATACGATCAGGTGGTGTAACGAGACACCCATACCTCTCCATGTCACCTCGTCCTCACTATATATCCTACACTTACACGACCCGGTGGTGTAACGAGACACCAATACCTCTCCATGTTCTTACTTTGATTCAAAACATTCTGTTGATAACCTTACATTGTTATGATAATACACACACATCCGTATATACGTGTTATCATGATATTGACGATGAGCCACGTAGTATAGCAGTTTATAAACAGATACCTACATGGCAAAAATAATTATAGATATTGTCGTGTACGTGTCTTGCATGTGCAGGAGCCTTTCCAAATACAACTTATGATAATCAAATCTAAACAGTATTTGAGAGAAACACGCGATGATATGTATGCACAATCGGAAGCATGTTAACAACTAACAGGATGTCTCATGTACGTGCTGTAATGAATTTCTGCATATTCACGTAGTAGTAATTGAAGCTGACCGATGCTGATGTGTAGGTGTACTTATTTGTAATGTAACCATGCTGATGATCCGCATTATTAACCGCCCCGGGGCGTATTGAGATGTAGCCCGTATCGTGTTATGATATCGATGAGTAGATAAACATGATCTTAGCCCAAAAAGCGAAGCTACATATGTACACAAGTTCTCACACGTTGGTCCAAGTACGACTGGTACTACTTTGTTCAGCTTGAACCATGACTTTATTGGGTGCTATTCTGACGGCAGACTAGAAACTTTTTACGGTGTCTATACGGATGATTCAGTGACGTTATGTTGTTAGCACGAGCAAAGGTGTATTAACACAGAACTGTCTCCACTATCAGACTATGGATCTGATCATGAAGAAAGGTTATGCCAAGTTGCTGGTGCTGAGCGTCGGTTGGTTTCTCTTCTTCCTCAGTTTTTCTTCCATACGTAATGTCACCAGCAGCATCAACCATGAAGATGGCCTGGGTTTATGCTCGATGGCCGGTACTTACGGAGGATTCATGTTGGCCTGCTGTATTACTACTAGTATAGTAAGGCGCTACACCACCAAATGGGTCCTTGTTGTGTCTTTAGGCATACAGATAGTCTTCGTGTTGGCAAATCTAAGCCGGAACCTCTATCTGCTCGTGCCAATTTCTGTTATGTGTGGCGCCTCTCAGGCGGCAATGTGGACTGCTGTCAGTACCTATGTTGTGGATCTAGTAGTGCAGCTCGAGGACAGAAGGTCTCTGGAAGTGCTTTCTAGAAGTCTTAAAGCTAGAATGTTTGGCATATTTTTCTTCTTTGGATCATTGGCGCCTGTGTTTGGAGCTCTCTTGACTTCCTTTATACTCTCCTACAACAGGAATGAAGGTCTTCATATTTCAGTGGAACGTAACATTACAAATTGTGGAAGCCACGAGACTTTTACCTCTAACTGTAGCAATGTGTCGTCTATAGGTAACGTAAATACGGGAGAGTACCGTTCTACAGAGACTGTGAACACATTGTGTGGCCCGCGGTTCTGTCACGCTAACTTTGATGAATATGCCGAAAGGGCTGTAAAGAAAGAAACGCGTACCCTTCTGTTCGGAGTCTATACAGCTTGTATGGCCATTGCCCTGCTTGGTTATGCTTTTCTTCTAGACGGCAGCAAAAGTTTGAAAGAAGTTCTATGTTCTAGTGAAGTATGTGTTGACTTCGCAAAGGACACCAAATCAGTCTTTAAGCTCTTTGCGGAGTGTAATTTTCTATTGATCAGTCCACTGATTCTATTCCATGGAGTACAGACAGCTTTCTTCTCAGGCGAAATCACGAAGGTAAGTCACAAAGCCAAAGGCCACCCTTGTGTATGCACTATAACAATCTAAGGGGCACATGCTTTAGTTAAGTTTGCCATATTATCAACAATGCTTTATAGTACAGTGATATAATCCTTAATAACAACCGAAATTCCTACTTCTAAATAGCTTCCAGTTATTGTCTTAGTCATTAACACACCTTTGTGAAAGAGTTGATGTTTATATATGTTGATATTGATATCTTTGTATGGCCTGGATATTAAAATTCTTGTTGTATGTCATGATTCCTGGATTTGGTATTTTTTTTGTCGAATCACCGACATGATAAAACTGACCATAATGGACACACAGCACAAATTATCACATCAATTTATATATATCCATGTCATTAATTTGCCGACTTAAATTAGTTACCTCAGTTAATTAAATCTTATTGTCCCTTGTATGTGATTGGGTTTTTACTAGAATATACTAATTTTATATCGTGTTTATTTGAGGTTTATAAAGTGTCGAATTCAACAGTATCATACGTTGCCCTCTTTATGACCCGGAGAAATGTCAATACACAGAGTATACCGTGGATATAACAACAATCTGGACATACAACAATAATTTGTTGACAGAAGATGTCATATTGTTTAAACACACCTAGGATTTTGGTACACCTGTACTGTCGTTTCTTTGCTATCGATATACACATTGTGATACGTAATGTTGATAATTAATCCAGATTTTATAGATCAACACCTCCGTAATGGTCTGTTCCATAAGCCAATTCAAAACAACGTGACAAAGAAGACGACACAATTACTTCATGTTATGTGTTGATTCTATGTTAAAAATAACCATATTGAATGCTGATTCAAAGAAAATTATTAATGGAGATTATCGTTTTTAATGAATTACTGGGTGTATTCTCTATATCGACGGTAATCGAGAAAGTACAAAATGCAAAGAAACACTTATTATATAACTAAATACCAAAGTACAAAACACACAGAAACAATGACTATACATAGTACAACATACACAGAAACGGTATTCATATATAGTATAAAACACACAGAAACAATGACTATGCATAGTACAACATACACAGAAACGGTATTTATATATAGTACAAAACACACAGAAACAATCACTATACATAGTACAACATACACAGAAACGGTATTTATATATAGTACAAAACACACAGAAACAATGACTATACATAGTACAACATACACAGAAACGTTATTTATATATAGTACAAAACACACAGAAACAATGACTATACATAGTACAACATACACAGAAACGTTATTTATATATAGTATAAAACACACAGAAACAATGACTATATATAGTACAACATACACAGAAACGGTTTTTATATATAGTACAAAACACACAGAAACAATGAATATATATAGTACAACATACACAGAAACGGTATTTATATATAGTATAAAACACACAGAAACAATGACTATACATAGTACAACATACACAGAAACGGTATTTATATATAGTATAAAACACACAGAAACAATGACTATATATAACAATGACTATATATAGTACAACATACACAGAAACGGTATTTATATATAGAACAAAACACACACAAACAATGAATATATATAGAACATATCTCACAGAGACAGTGACTACATATTATAAGAAACTCGCAGACTATTTATTGTACAAAGCTCACAGAAACAGAGACTTTATAATGATATAACTTTCGTTAGAACCTTTTTTCAGTGAATGTGATGAAAGATAGCTGACTGAAACAACGATAACTCTTTGATAGCCAATCAGAGTTTCACCATTTCACTTTGAATTATAATTGATATCGCCTATATTTGATAGGAATACGATTCTTCAACCAACTGATTTTTCATCGGTTATGCCGGTGTTAAACTCCACTAGCTGTTTTTTTCCATACGATACTTAAATTATCGAAGAGCTTTTCAAAAGTGGCCACAAAGATCTTGCAAAGTCCTTCTATTTCACTTTCAGATATATTGATGACGACTTATCTTTATATACTCACCAGAATTGAAGATCAAGGACATGACACACTCTTCAACATCAGCCGCTAATTTCAATCTTTTCCTACAACGAAACCAACATCGACAGCTTTCCACTAAGCTGCATGATAAGCGTGATGATTTGAATTTTCCCATTGTGAATTTTCCATTTCTGGATAGCAAACACCATACGAAGATTTACATGGCGGGACTCGTTGATATAGCAGAAGGCGTTTTTTCTCTTCTGGAACACCTGGTCTTATTCTCCTTGTACTTTTTCAGAAGTTTCCGTAAAAATCTTTCCTTTTTCATATTTGTTGATATCTAACACAAGTTTCATCAAAATTCAAGTGTGGATTTTCTTATTGTTTTTGATGACGTTTTCTGCTGATGTAGGCTTTTGCTGGCTGTCTATACGGAGTGGATATGGTCGGTTATTTCGTGGCTGTGTATGGTACCAGTGCTGCCCTTACCGCCTTCACAACAGGTTTCGCCTCAAAAATTGTCAACCGAACATTTCTTCTATCTACAGGCAAGTCTTTATAATTATCACACCTTTTAATCTAAATTGAAATAAAATACATATCGTCTGTTATATTGCTGCACTGAGTAAGTACCGTATCACATACCGTCTAAACACCGTTATATAGTCTTGTCTTAGTGTCATATCCTTACGTCAGTTCTCTCTGTGGAGATCGGGCCAGTCTCCCTACTGTACACTGAATATTTAACCATAACCATATGAAAAAGAATCTACCTATGAAGCGGAGTTTTATTACGAATATCTTAACCGGGTACCGAGATGCCCTAAATCTACATGAACAACTAACCACACTCCACCACACCCCCTCATGATTAAGTGCTCGAGCATCACCACACCGACCCTCCTATAATTAATCGATCTCGTATCACCTCACAACATCCCCATGGAAAAGCGCTCCAGCATCACCCCACCACACCCTCTATATTTAAGTGGCTCCAGCATCACCACATCACACCCCCTGTAGTTCAGCGTTCCAGTATCACCCCATCACACCCCCTATAATTAAGCGCTCCAGCATCACCCCACCACATCCCCTATAATTAAGCGCTCCACAGAAATATGTATATAAAAAACTTTTTGTCACAAATATCAATCTTTCATTGTATGTTACAAGTTGTATGCTTATGTCATGCACATCATTCTCCAGATGCATTTTCTAAAAGTATTAAGCAAAAAAAGTAAATTTTAGCTTGTTTACTTTCAATATTGCCTACTCGAATTCATTATGGTCTACTTATCTCCATAAGTGAAGTAAGTGAAGAAAAGTAGTCTTCAATAGATACTGATATTAAGTACTAAATTTAAAGGATTGGACAAAAGACACACAAGTGAATAACACCTTCGAGTTAGATACAGTAGAGCCAAACAATGAAGCAAACAGCACTGTACAGCTGTTTCGTCCTTCTAGGACTCGTCAGTGATGATATGGGCTTACATTTTGAAGCCTAGGAGGCGACTAAGGAAATGATCGAAAGAAAAGTCTAGACGGAGAGGTGCAGCAGCCCCACAATGAAATAAATTTCGTTATTTTTATATACCAGATAATTTTAGAAAACGTGAAGTACATGTGTGTGTGAAAGTCGAGGCAAACCTCGTAATGTACTAGAAATGAAGTTTTTTTTATATCTATATCAGAAAGACAGTATCTGATACTTACGATTATTTACAATTAAGAACGACAAGCATTATACAAATTCTGGTGGATTCATAACTAAAGTCATAGCTAGTCATAATTAGTCATAACTAGAACGTGCATTGCTAACAAAAAAAAAACAGTGAAACGAAACAGAATTAATTTAAAAGGAAAATTTATACACATATAATGCACATGCACTTAGTTAGAAATTAAATACTTTCATCTTTGTTAACGCAAAGTGGTTCGATGAAATAGTATATCGTCCCATCAACACTAGAGGGCAATCGATATAAGGTCGGTATCTTAACGGATAAATACCTAAACATAATGAAGGTCATGCCTTAAACATAGTGTAGGTCAGATGGTCAATATTACTATCTTACGTGCCACGTGGCGCTGATAATATGGTCGTATTGAGCGATAAAATATGTGACTTATAAAAATGTAGTTATAGAACATGTCATGTGTATGTCCCTATGGATTTGAAAAGCTATAAAACTGGGTACATAACCATCAATATTAATACATCAGGCCTCTGTCGAGGTATAAATTATATTGATCACAAGTATATACTTCTGTTTCATTTCACCTTGCTCATCTTATATTTTTCAATGTTTAACATATTGTTTTAGCTGGTGGATGTATTTCTATTGGGTGTTTAACTTATTCACGATGCAGGTAACTATTCCAATACCTCGGGTAAATATTAACACATGAGGCAAAAGAAGCAACTAAAGCAAAAAAAAAAAAAAAAAAAGAGGATATTTTCTGCAAGGATAAAATTTAAGGAAAGGGATAATATTGGCATTTATCATGTACAAAATACACTGCCCGAAGTGTTTACACGCGATGTTCTATTACAAACTCAATAAAACATGATTTGTCGTGAGGACAATATCATCATCTGTGTATGATGATTTTCTGGTTGATCGGTTCTCTCCCAAGCAAAGTGTCGGACAGTTAATCACATTACGTTTGACAAGACTGAGCCATTTTGAATTGGCCCTTACGCACAACATTCAACCTTTTCATGCCGGGATCTACTAACAAACATTTACGAAATGGTTATTAAATATGAATTGCAGAAAAGCTGCAGTTAACACAGCAAAGGCGATGTAAAAAAAAAATCAAGTAAATAGGTGAAGTTAATGGAAAATTGTCCCCGGTATAATCACTACTTACATCTGCATATCTAAAGGATATATATATATAACTGATAGCGAAGAGCAATGGTACATATGTACCTATATTTTTGTGTTAAGTCATGATGCTGCCTTTAACAGTGCTAATGGGTCGCACCAAAGTCCACGTCCAATACCAAGTAGGTCACCAGCCAACAACCTTTCAATAGACTTTGTAGTTTAAATTTTAGGTCAAGTAGAATTTATTTCATGAATTTAAACTGTCTATCTATACGAGTATAATACAATTGAGGATTATCGTGTGACTAACACATTCTTGATACTATGATACACCACAGCACATATATATGCTGGGGCATATTCAAAAACGTGAACGTGAATTAGTCAATTGAAAGAACATCACATGTCAAAGGAAAAAAAAGATTGATACATGTGAACATTCTGAACCAAAGTTACACAAAACGCATGTCTAAACAATTTCATTACACTAGATGACATAACAGGAAAAACACTTGTGACATCATACATCAATACTACAGTGAGTGTGACCTCATAAATGGGTAAAAAGTCACATCGAATGGCTTATGCTTTTTTCATTGTAAAATTAGACAAGGAATATAATGTTAACACATAAAACTCATATTAACATACTATCGAGATGAAACTGGGGTTTTCTTTATATATTCTCTCGTAATAGAATAATGCCATGTCCATACCTCGTTACGGTGAAATAATGTTTTACCAGGTAATTACTATTCAGTGAAAAAGGCACGCAAGTCAAAAGCACCTTTCAATACAAATTAAGAACTAGATAGAGTAGAGCTAAATAATGAATTCAATTGCATTATACAGCTATTTTGCCCTTCTAGGACTAGGTCAGTGATGCTAAGGGTCGGCATTGTTAAGACGGCTGAGGAAATACAGAATGACTTCAAAGAAGTGTCCAAGTACATATTTATATAGAAACGTGACATAAAGGTTACGACATACCTCGGGGACCAACTGAAGTGTTTACCACCTGCAATCTCAAAAAAATGCACACACGTTAATAGCCCCTCTCAGTACAGTTTAGAATAAGATACAGTCAAATATTGTCGTCTACGACTCGTCAGTACTTTCCTATCGTATTATATTACATTTTTGCTAGTAAAACATAAAAAGATATCAATTTGATACAAACTGATATCATCACTAGCCAACCTTTTCAGTAGTGCTGAATAATATGATTTTCCATCAAATAATTCGTTGTTCTTTTCTGTTTTTCTTTAATTTTGTATATAAGATATAATATGGTAACAATTCTCACCAGAAATCAGCATAGATTGGTAGAATTACATTATAAAGCATCCTATTTGATATGTTGATGTGGAAGGAGTCGCTAATAAACAAAACCTTTTTAAGAACAGCTTTATTGTATGTTCTTTTGAATTCGTGTTTCCTTCGAAAATGAAACCAGAAGACTGAATGGTTTCTCTCGGAATATTTATATTTTTCACTCGCATGATAAACAGACGAAACCAAATACTTTCCTAGATTTGCAAGGTTACTTATATATAAAAATAGACAGTTGTTTATTCGTGATATCGGATAGAGTACAGTTATGTAACTGTTTAAAAGATAAAGATTTAAAAGATTGATTGACGGTAATAATTTATCTTTGTATGTATCCCGCAGTGCAAAGTTATTTATAGTGTATGGATGGTCAATACCGATCGTGCTTTGTTTGTCGTACGTAAACGTTTCCTTTAAAGCCCTATTCTTTGGCGGATTTCAACCAAATTTGGTCTGATGCATCATTGTGTGAGGGTAATAATTTGTCAAATTCCGAATTTTGATTCGATCCCTAGGGGTCGAGGGACGGGTACCCAAAATGGGAGAAGCTGAAATTAGCTTTAAAAGCCTATTCCTCCTTTCTACCTGGGTGGATTTCAACAAGCTTTGACCTGATTCATCAGTTAGGGTAGGCAATTATTTCTTTAATACAGAAATTTGATTCGACTCCTAGGGACTGGGAAGGAGGAGGGGGGAGCAAAAGAGGAAGTTATGCAATAGTTTGATTTCGCTACTCTTTTTTAATGCCTAGGTAGATTTCAACAAAATTTTGTATGAAACATTGTTGCAGGTGGGTTCTCATTTTTTTTTAATTCATAAACTTATTTCGACCTCTGGAGACCTGGGGCGGGGCTCCAAACGGAAAAGTTAGTCAAAACGCTACTCTTTCTTAATACTTGAGTGGATTAAAACCGACTGTGGTCTGAAATATCATGATTTGTCACAACAAAACCTGCAGATTCTGAAAAATAAGAATAGGTTATATATAAAATCTATTTTATCAAATATTTACATACATAAGATGAAGAAATAAGAATTCATAGGATTGATTGATAAGAATATCCGATATAACATAGTTGAATCAATGAGTACAGGAATTGTCTTGTATACAATACTAATTATATGCACCAGTTATATGCAATATGTAGTGTCGTACTAAAAGTGACCTCTGGAAATATGCACAAGAGAAGAGGTTACTTTCAGTCATCAAACTGAATGAAAGTATTCCTTCTCTTGTTAGGGAGAGGTGCGAGTTTGTACAGTTGTGAACTGTTCTAAAGCGTATTTCGTGAATATACGTCTCATTGACTGGATGTTTTTTTCAACAGTCTCTTGGTAAACCTATGAGAACAAAATATGTCAAAATGATGGTTGTGATTTCTGTTTTCATACGAGGCTCCGTAAAGTTCATCAATCAGACACAAAAACCTTGCAAAAACCTTCATTATATCGATGATGACTTGTCTTTATTAGAAATTGTTTGATAATGTCCATAGTATATACCCATCTACCGGCTCATCTGCTGAATTTGATGTTTGAAAGGAACCTAGCTGTATGATAGCGGGATGATTTCAATTGCCTTTCAGTGGCGCAAACTTGTGATGTATACTGCCGTAATTGATTCTATTCAATGTCCTATTAACAATACCGGGATTTACATGCTTAATGCACAATATAATATGAATTTGGTCGTGGTTTAACTTGTGATTTACCTTTTTTATTATTTGGGAACGTGACATTGCTTGCTTGGATTGACAAATGTTTACATTGTGGGTATCGTCGAGGAAGCAAAGCACTTTACCTTTCAGAAAGAATGGTCTTATACTCTTTGTTTGTTTATTTTTGTGGATGAATGATTCGTTTGTTCCTATTTTGCCACATTTCATCAAATTTGGGCTTGAATAATGGTTCTTTTGACATTTCGGTATTTTCGATGTTGCTCATGAAATATTAATCAAAGCGTTAAAAGAAATTGATTGCTAGATTTTGTCTAGTGATTTCACGGCTTTAATTTCGGAGCAATGAGTCCCTTTAATGTCTATGTTTATATAATTACGACTTTAATTTCGGAGCAATTAGTCCCTTTAATGTCTATGTTTATATAATTACAGCTGCAGTTGTGGATCTGTTTGCTCTAGTTGCAATGTTGATATGGAGTGCTGAGAATGGCGACATGCTGTACGTGTTTTCCCTTGCCTTCCTGTGGGGAATAGGGGAAGGCATATGGACCACGCATCTAAACAGTGAGCAAATACACAATAATGTATTCAATAGTTCCCATAGGTGGTCAAGCAACGAGTTTGTACAATCAGAAATTAGATGTACAGCTCATGTACTAGTTGTGTTCGGTATATTGTATAGTTTTACATGGAAACAATATGTTTGACGTCGTTCTGATTTTTTTTCATAGTTTAATTGATCCTAAATGTCGAAGGAACACGTTCATGAAGCATAAAAATTGTACATATGGTATAAAGATATATAGTTACAACTATATCATAAAACAGTTAATGTGCTATGCCATTAAAATTAACAGTAAATCACTACACAGCGAAACTGTATTTTATCAAATTGATCAGTGTTTGACAAGTTTAATTGGTGTTTTGATTACAACTTTGGACTAGCTAGATAGGTAACTTATTCTTATCATTAATATTTTATATTTAATATTTATAGTTGGTACCCTGTAAACAAATAACCAAGTTATTGATTTAGTTGGTGTCATGTACATAACCAGGTTATTGGTTTAAGTTGGTGCCGTGTACATAACCAGGTTATTGGTTTAGTTGGTGCCGTGTACATAACCAGGTTATTGGTTTAGTTGGTGCCGTGTACATAACCAGGTTATTGGTTTAGTTGGTGTCATGTACATAACCAGGTTATTGATTCAGTTAATGCCATGTACATAACCAGGATATTGATTCAGTTAGTGCCATGTACATAACCAGGTTATTGGTTTAGTTGGTGCCATGTACATAACCAGGTTATTGGTTTAGTTGGTGCCGTGTACATAACCAGGTTATTGGTTTAGTTGGTGCCGTGTACATAACCAGGTTATTGGTTTAGTTGGTGTCATGTACATAACCAGGTTATTGGTTTAGTTGGTGCCATGTACATAACCAGGATATTGATTCAGTTAGTGCCATGTACATAACCAGGATATTGATTCAGTTAGTGCCATGTACATAACCAGGTTATTGGTTTAGTTGGTGCCGTGTACATAACCAGGTTATTGATTTAGTTGGTGCCATGTACATAACCAGGTTATTGGTTTAGTTGGTGCCGTGTACATAACCAGGTTATTGGTTTAGTTGGTGCCGTGTACATAACCAGGTTATTGGTTTAGTTGGTGCCGTGTACATAACCAGGTTATTGGTTTAGTTGGTGCCGTGTACATAACCAGGCTATTGATTTAGTTGGTGTCATGTACACGAACTACAATATAATTTAATCTTGTTAGTTTTTTTAAAATATTTACTTGACAAACGAATATCCATGTTATTGATATGGTTGGTACCCTGTTCACGAATAATCAGGTAATTGATTTGGTACCTTGTATAAATGAATGGCATTTAAAAAAATGTTATTTGTATTTTCCTAGGTTTAGTTGGAGTCCTGTATGCTAACAAACCAGAGGCCGCCTTCTCTGCCTACAACTTGGTTCTGTCTTTCGGATTAACAGTTGGTTATATATACTCCAACTATGTGTGTATGGATAGTAAGATATACGTGACTGGGTGTCTGTGTATTATAGGTATGTTTAGTTATGCAATATTTACAAGGAAGAAACCGTCTTATCAGACGCGGGAAGAAACCATTATAGTGCAAGTAACAGCAAATACTGATGTATTGGAGACCGAACAACTAAACACGGACTCGTCCCAAACCGAAGAATGAGGCCTTACATCTCACAATGTCTGACTCTAAACTAAGATGAATTCCAAACCGAGGAATGAGGTTAAAAAGGATACATTCCAGACCAATCGGTTCAAAACCAAGACACGTACAAGGGACCAGATAGCGTGTCTGATATTTTCAGATCGTACGATATACTACACATGAATGGTTCCAACTCCTAGAACGCGGACTATGCCAAAACCCATTAGGTTTGCTTTTACGTCTAAACAATATGCATTATGTCAAAACGTTCAGGACAGAACTGTAAATGTAATTTCGTTTTAAAATGAAGCTGAGTCGTGGTATGTACAGATCTGTGAAGTACAGAGTAATATCGGGACCAACTTGTACTTAGGCGTGTTCGACTCTCCATACAGAGGATCGACATTAATATCGGTACCAACTGTACTTAGGCGTGTTCGACTCTCCATACAGAGGATCGATATTAATATGCGTGTTTATTTATATGCATTAGTTATTTTCACTTTTACGTGACATCTGTATTTATCATAGCTTAATATTCAGCTGTAAGGTGCCTTGTGTAGTTAACGTACACTAAGATTATGGTTAATTGGACATAAAGAGATCTGGTCATTTGAATGGTAATCTAAGAAATGAAATTAGAATTCACGTCACTTTAGCAGAATGTACCAGTAAGCTTTGAAAAATCCCGCATCAAGACAATCTCAGCAAAAAATATTCAATCACTCTTTCCACATAGATGCTTTCCCAGAGGAACTATGGTCTTGACACTTTTCCGGAAATTTAAAGTCTCCGCAAATCGACGTTTCCCTGGAGAACAAATCTTCGAACACCGAGCCATTCTGAGGGGAACAAAAATGACTTCGCTCGCCATCACACCTAGAGAAAAAGTGAACTTAAAACATCACCAAAAAAGCGTGACGTCAGTCACTGTATTCAATGTTTATTTCTGATCACGATGCTTGTTTTAAACGAATGCGATCACAATCGCACAACTAACTCTATACGCGAATCAAATTAACTCATTTTAGATGGTGGATACATTCTGAAGACCAACACATATATAATGTCATTAATCAAACTTTGGACGTATCATGCAGGATTAAAACACACTCTAAACATCGCTTGGAAGCTGATGACGCCATACTCTCTTGTTAAGGAAATAGAACAAATAAAATGCTGAATCAGATGATATTTTGTATAATTTACATGCGTCTGTAAAGCACAGGGCAATCTGAATAAGAAAACCACGAGACACGTATAAAGTAATTATTAGTTATGAGTATTAAGTAGTACAAGGAAAATCCAATTATTATGACGATGTTTTATTACCTATCTAACGTTGTTGCACTGTGGTCAAACTTGGAGAAATTCTGGTATACTTGTGTATACGTCATAAGCTACACTGGCACAGATAACAGTGAATTTTCATGTTTTAGACACTCTTTATGTAAACTATTTAATATACCTGTTTATTTTATAAAAAATGTATCAATTGACCAAAAGATACCTTTTTGAAATGCCTTATATGTTCAATATAACTGTATCTTTTTTTGGGTTATCTACTGATGTTACAAAATATTGTTATACGCCCAATTACAGTATATTGTTACACGTCTAATTACAGTATATTGTGATACGCCTAATTACAGTATATTGTTATACGCCTAATTACAGTATATTGTTCTACGCCTAATTACAGTATATTGTTATACGCCTAAGTACAGTATATTGTTATACGCCTAAGTACAGTACATTGTTAGACGCCTAATTACAGTATATTGTTATACGCCTAATTACAGTATATTGTTATACACTTGTATACTTTATATTTTTATACATCTATATACAATATATTGTTATACACTTGTATACTTTATATTTTTATACATCTATATACAGTATATTGTTATACACTTGTATACTTTATATTTTTATACATCTATATACAGTATATTGTTATACACTTGTATACTTTATATTTTTATACATCTATATACAGTATATTGTTATACACCTATTTACATATTGTTATTAATTTTGTAAACATTTACGTGAGTATATTGTTATACAACTAGATACAGTATGTTGTTATACACTTAGGTAAGTATATTATTATATCCATTTATAGAGAGTGTTGTTATACACCTACGTACACTATAGGGCTAGGTACAATATATTGTTATACATCTAGGTACATTATATTGTTGTACAGCTAGGTACAGTATGATGTTATACACCTAGGTACATTATATTGTTGTACAGCTAGGTACAGTATGATGTTATACACCTAGGTGCATTATATTGTTGTACAGCTAGGTACAGTATGATGTTATACACCTAGGTACAGTATGATGTTATACACCGAAGTACATTATATTGTTGTACAGGTATGGACATAATTATGTTGTACAGCTAGGTACATGATGTTGTACAGCTATGGACATGATATTGTTGTACAGATATGGACATTATATTGTTGTACAGCTAGGTACAATATGATGTTATACACCTAGGTACAGTATGATGTTATACACCTAAGTACATTATATTGTTATACACCTAGGTACAGTATGATGTTATACACCAAGGTACATTAGAATGTTGTACAGCTAGGTACATAATATTGTTGTACAGCTGGGTGCAGTATAATGTTATACACCTAGGTACAGTATGATGTTATACACCAAGGTACATTAGAATGTTGTACAGCTAGGTACATAATATTGTTGTACAGCTGGGTGCAGTATAATGTTATACACCTAGGTACAGTATTATGTTATACACCAAGGTACATTATAATGTTGTACAGCTATGGACATTATATTGTTGTACAGCTAGGTACAGTATAATGTTTTGTTACATACATATGAATGCTGACAATGAATAATATATACAGTTAAAGACAAGCAAATATGATTAATCATTACCATTCAAGTTAAAATTCCTTTTGTTGATATTTGTAGGTAAAACTCATGTCATGCAAACGACGTCAATGAACCAAACTATCAACTGGGTTTTTTCGCAAACACATTGACTTATCATATAACGTTCTTAAAACGCCAATAAATAATCCGAATTTATCATGGTAAAGACATTGAAATAAAATATGTCTATAATACACTAGTGATAACGAACTACCAAACAAAATTCTATAGAATGATATTATATGGATTACTTTGTTCTAAGAAACTACATTAGTATTGCCTCCGTACATAAGGGACTGAACAGACGAAGGCAGAAGGAGTCTCAATCAGTTTACATTAATCATCATTATTTTCAAACCTTTATGTGTGTTTGTAATATTCTTGATTTAAAATGTACTAAATACTTGTGTCTTTTATACAATCTTCATGATTGCAGGCCGTGCAAGCTGTTGGTCGACTTCTAGTCTCAGCTGTTTGCTGCAATATGATTTAATCCATTCAAATAGCGGGGCACGGTAACAATATACACAAGGCATTTTCTGTTTTGAAAATTTCAAAATGTCCTGAAGTATTGGACTAAAGCACCTCCCCTACTAGAGTTTTACATTTCTTTCGATCATTTTTTTTTCAAATTTCCTCTGCTTCATTAAGTAATGTCACGTTCTCAAATGAGAACAATTCATATAACAACGGAACCAACATACAAACTAACGAGCATTAAACACGTCTAGCTTCATATGGCACAATGAAATAGAACATTTATCAATGAGATCACTATGATGACCGTAAAAATGTTCACCAACCTGCATATTTTGAAACTCTGTGTTATGAGTTTGTCCGTCAGTCGACGAAAATCATAATGTGAACAGGCCCTTGAATACCGAATCAAGTACTACATGTAACCAACAATGGTTGTGGATCCATGGTTTGCTATCCAGAAATGGAAAATTCACATAAGAGAAACTGAAATCATCATGCTTATCATACAGTTTGATGTCCGTGTTGGTTTCGTTGTAGGAAAAATAAAGATAAAGGTTGTGTCCTTGATTTCCCATTCTAGTGGGTATATACAATGGGCGTGGTCGATAAATCTCTTCTTAGTAAAAGACAAGACGCCATCAATATAAATATGCAAGGTTTATGTGACCGACGTTCATTGCATATACCCGCCAGAATTGGAAATACATAAAACAACCGACTTTTCTACATCGACCGCTTAAATCAACCTTTTCTTACAATGAAACCATCGTGGACAACTTTCCATAAAGCTGTATGATGAGCGTGAAGATCACAATTTGCATGATGTGATTTTTTTTGTATATTTCTGGATAGCAACATACCTGTATCCGCAACCTATGGTGTTTACATGCTACAGTTATTTCGATAGTCTAGGACTTGTTCTCAGAATCACGATTTTCGTAGAAGATGTCGACACATGCAAAATGATGAATATTGTAGAGAAGTTTACGGTCGCCATAATGATCTTGCCCATCAATATTCTATTTCTTTGCATGATATGAAGCTCGACGTGTTTGATGCACTTTCGTTCATATCTATCCCAGTTTCATAGAATTTGTGTTTGAATAAAAGTTCCGTTAACATGTAGGAATTTACCTTGTTTGTTTTTTTTTCAAATACGTGGTAATGCACAGTTCCAGATATAAAAAAATGTAATCCTGGTGCTAAATCTAAACATAGTAAACTCTAAGGTAAAATATACAGGTAACAGAGACCTACAAATAACACTGCGACTTAATACTGCTCGAGATGAGTACACAGGTCAACTTTCAAGACTCATAATGCCCACATCAGGAGTAAAATCAACTTCATGTTTCAGACGGACGGACTGACGGACGGGCGTAGGTAATTACAAAAGTATCAAGACCAAGACATTGTTATATGCTGTGGTGTTTTCTACGGAACCGTATGTGCAAAATTATATGATTTTATGTATTTCTTGGAGGTTTTGAATACACAAAGTTAAATTATGTTGTTTCTACGTATTCCTGATTAAAATGGCATCTGTTCGTTGAAATGCTGTCTTGGCGATGCTGCGTTGTGTTGACTATTGGTTTTACAATTGAATTGTTCCATTGCTTGTCGGAACTTTGAGCGTAAATTTCATAGATTCCAATTACTATGATTACTCTTGAGATTTGTAGACCTGGCGTTACATCTCGGAATTATTCTACAAACCATAGTTTCTATCCCAATAGATGTGGTGACACTGGTCTGTTGTTCCCAGTCATGATTCTGTCTCCATACCATAATGTTGGTTTTACCACTCCCTGAAGTCCGTCTTCCATTAAAGTCTCCAGTTACTATGACATGTGCCTACAACATCAATATGATCGGACAAATATATAAACGGAGTTTTGTATGGCAACATTGATTACATACCGTTTATACTCTACCAATCACCCTACTTGAACACGTTATACACTTGTAAGTAAACG